ACACCGCCAAACCTTGAACGCGTGCACGATCGCCAACATTTCGCGGTCGTGTATCGGGTAGTTGCGTTCGGGCGGGTGCAGCTTGCGGGACTCGTACGCGATTGGCTGGAGGCCGTTCCCGAAATCCTGCAACAGTAGCGCTCCCACAGCGATGTCACTTGCGTTGGTGACGAGCTCGAATGGACGGTGCGGATCTGCAATGTGAAGCATGGGCAGTGAGCACAAAATGTTTTTGAGGGCCGAGAAGGCAGCTTGCTCTTTCTCCCCCCACGTGTACTCAACCCCCTTCCTCAGCAGGTCTGTCAGCGGGGCAGTCAGCTTCGCCATGTCGGGGACGAACCGGCGCACGTAGTTGACGAACCCCAAAAAACTCTGCAACTCGGTCAAGTTGGTCGGCGCGTGCCATGCTTGAATCGTCGCAATTTTCTTCGGGTCTATTTCCACTCCTGCAGCTGAAATAACGTGTCCCAAAAACTCCAAGCGGTCCTGTAAAAACTCACACTTAGACGCTTTGGTCAGTAGGCGGTTCTCACTCAGTATCCTGAAAACTGCTTCGATGTCCTGTAAGTGCTGTGCTCTGTCAGGGCTGTAAATCAGTATGTCGTCCAAATATACTATGACCCACTTGTCTAAGAGCGGGCGAAAAGCTTCGTTCATGGTCATTTGAAAGGTGGCAGGGGCGTTGGTCAGTCCGAAGGGCATGACGGTGTATTCGAAGGATCCGTAGCGTGTGCGAAATGCGGTCTTAGGGCAGTCGGGCGGATTGACGCGAATCTGGTGGTAACCCCCTCGGAGGTCGATTTTTGAGAAAACCCGGGCTGTGCGCAGTTGGTCGATCAGTTCGTAGGCTCGCGGGATGGGGTAACGGGATTTGATGGCAACCCTGTTCAGTGCTCTGTAATCTATGCACATGCAAAATCCCCGTCTTTTTTCGGCGTGAACAGTATCGGTGCAGCGAAGGGTGACGAACTAGGGCGAATGAACTCCTTCTCGAGCAGGTAATCCAGCTGCTTCCTCAGTTCGTCCAGTTCGGGTTGGGTCAGTCAGAACTGTCGCTGTACTGTCGGCTGTGCCCCCGGTTCTAGCTCTATCCTGTGGTCGTGCGGTCGCTGAGGTGGCAGTCCCGTTGGCAGGTCATTCGGAAATATCTCACTGTACTGATTCAGGAGTGCTGCCAAGTCATCCGGTACGTCGGCAAGCAGTTTCTGTAAATCCCCTCCCTGGTCTGCTGCTTCGGCTTCCCGATTGTCAACCGCATACACGTCAGCTCCTGCCGATACGGCGCGTTTCATCGTGATCGCGTTGACACGTACCGACGAAGACTCAGGCGAGCCCCAGCGAGGTAAGGCGATGTTGTTACCGTTCACTTGCACAGTGCAGTCACCCGTCGTCCAGTCGATTCGCAGATTGTGTCGTCGCAACCAATCCCGACCGAGTAAAATGTCGGTTCCGTCGAGGGTCGTCGCAAGCATTTCCTGGCTAAACGTGAAGTTACCCCCGCATCGAATCCGGACCCGGTCTACGCGTTCCTGTATCGCCAGTGGCGTGCCGTCGACCAGTCTTGCGTCGATCTCAGGTAAGCATTTGTCCAGTGGCAGTTTCAGTTTCCGTGCCGTGGCAGTGTTGATGAGGCTGTGGCTGGCTCCCCCGTCTACGAAGATTTTAACTAAGTCTGTCCCAATTTTCCCACTAAGCACTATGGGGCTGTCTACCATGGTACCCTCCTTATTCGGCCGGGTGTGGTCGATTGCGTGAACCGGCACAATCACTCGGTGAGGGTCGGTTGGGTCGGGCGAGCGGCGTGACCTGTCAGTAGAGGGCCCGTCTGCTACTGACTTCCAGCGTTTCCCTGCTGCTTGGTCTCTTTCTGCCGCTCAGCTTCCCCCTTTCCCTTAGCGTTTTCCGGGCATTCGCTCTTGCGATGTCTCGGCCGATTGCACGCAAAGCAGCGCCCTTTGAACGGTGCGGCAGCGGCATTTGCGGCGACGGCACGTATCGTGGCGCTCTCGTTCGTCCCACGAGACCGATGTCCCCAATGGCTGCTTCCGTAGGACCCCGGTCTCGGTCGGCGGAAGAAATCAAGTTTCTCCGCCATAGCGAGAATTTCTTGAAAGTCGGTGACGCCGCGAAGCTGGATTTCCTGAGCGATGTCCTGCTTCAGGCCGCCGATGTAGCGGTCGATGCGCTCGCTCTCGTGCATATATCCCAACTGCTCGCATAGCGCCAGAAATCCGCTCGTGTAGTCTTGGACGGAACCGAGTTGGCGCCAAGTGCGGAGCTTCTGTCGCGCCGCGATCGAAGCCGCGATTGGCTCGAAACGAGCGCGCAGACCTGCGCACCACGCGTCCCACGTGCGATACTGGGGCACCTCCACGAAATACGACGGCGCCCAAGTTCCGGTTTGTCCTTCTCGTGTCGGTAGAGTCGCGTAGTTCATCGGCTTCGTGACGATGACGCGCCACCAATCCATGACGGGTCCTCGCAGCAGCGACACGGCGTAGCGGATTTTCGCCGTATCCTCCGAGACGTAGTTGGCGTCGAAAAACACATTCATCGTGAACAACCACGCCTGAACGGTAGGACCACCCCTTTGACTGGGATCGAAGCATGGCGGACGCTGCGGCTTCAGCGGCATCGGTGACGGCAGTGCCGAACCGTCGGTTGGTGCCGAAATTGTGACGCGTGGCTGGCTTCGGGCCGGGTTCGTCGCTTCGGGGTGTGTCGTGCCGTGGTCGTCGTCTCCGTCGGGGCGGACGACGCCATCACTGGCCGCGCTCGCGGGTTGCCCCACGCTTCCGTGTTGTGATGCTTGTGGTGCGGGCTGTTCCGGAGTGCCAGGTGCTTGAGATTGTGCTTGTTGTGCTCGTGTGAGGTCATTTTGCAGGGACGAGCGTGCCGTCAGCGTCGTGATTTCCTCGGCGCTCTCGCGGATTTGTCGCAGCAGATCGTTCAAGTGCTCCTGCGTGAGGGTCGTGATATCGATATGCTCAGCCATTTCGAAGGGTGTCAGCTCGTCTTAGTCTAGGCGCAGTCGTGGCTGCACGCGTTTACGAGAGAACGCGAGGACAGTGGCTCCTAGGTGCTAAGGTGCGTGAGTCCCTTCGAGTGAAAAATCAAAAGTTGATTTCCTGGGGTGCGGAGATGCGCGGTTCGAAAGAAAGAGGCTCTGAATACCAAGTGTTACGGGTGCAATGGATCCAGGTAGCGAGGATTGCACTAAGGTGTCAAACGAGTACAAAGATGTGAGCGAAGGCATGAGCGAACATTTATACACGTAACATGCAAACGGTAACGCGGTGCGTGCGAGCTAGCTAGTGCTATGCTGGCAGCGAGGCTCGGGCTAGTCCCGAAGCGTAGGCCGACACGGCCGGGCCAGCAGTGCGAGGTTTGGCAAAACAATGCGCGCGAAGTTGGCGAAGCCCCGTTAGCAGTAACGGGCGAACAACGGCTGTTGCTGTACGCGATGTAGTCGGGCTCCGTAAGGAATGCAGAGAAAATTCCTTAAAGAGGATAAATATTCGCACACTTCTGCACGGAGGGTCGCTGGTCGAGGAGATGTCGCTCCTCTGCAGAAAAGTTTTCTGCAGACGCGCCTTCCTCTTCGACGGGGTCCTCTGCAGCTGGACCCAAAATTTCGCTTCTGCGAAGATGCCCTCAGCTGTAGAGAACAACGAACCTGTGCAGGGTTATTGCACTTTCAACATCCTTCTCTCCCTTCCGCTCTCTTCTCTACGTGCATCTCTTCGTGTTCGCTCTGCCATTGCTTGTTGCTCCCGAGAATCGGCCATAATCACTATTGTGGCATCTCGCCACCCCACCCAGGCTGTTCGCGCCATTCTCTGGCGTTCGCTTCACTAGCGCAGCGAAGCACTGTGGTAGTGAGATTGTCGCGGTGCGTGCCTGGGCCGGGTAGTATCATGTCGCGGCATCGTGAGGCTGTGATCGTAGATCTACCGATTCGATCGCGAGTTCGACGATCAGGAAGGACCACCTAGCGACGATCATTTCATATGATGTGCGGGTTAAGATGCGAGAGGGGTCAGGACCGGCGTGTGCATGCGGGAGCATGGCGACAGCTGGGGCTATGAGCTGAGGCTGGAAGAGACTGTGCTTGCTTCCACGCCCCAACAGAAGATTGGCATGAGTCACGAGGGGAAGAGGCGTGAAAGGGATGGAGGTAAGCGAGGGAATGCTGCAGGCGTGGAATTTGATCTGGATGCGCGAAACTCATTCAGAATGCGGTGCTTTCGCAAAGCACCTGTAACCTGAAACAACGTTCAAGTTTCTCTCGTTACTGCACATCTATTACAATGAAGAAGGAACTTCTCTTTCTTCGTGGACACCACCAAAGCTAAATCGCCCAAGACTGTCGCAAACCCTTCTCGCCAATTTCGTCCTGCTCGCAAAACCATCCTGCTCGTTTTTCTGGATTCTAAAACTGGCAAAACCTCAACATTGAATATAGCCCTCAATGTCGCTATTAGATTCTGCACGAAGGTCCTCCTATAACGATGGCTTGGTCTAAACGACGAATTCGCTCAGCTTGCTACAGATCTGCCAGGGAAAGGTATGAATGCCGCGATGAACTTGCAGATCGGTACTAACGCGGCCACTATGGACCTGTATACCTTCGTTACGGCTATTTGCTTAGTAGCGCACGCGATCCGCCTCAAAAGTTCGCAACCTGTGAATCCCCTTTTGAGGATGATTGCTTGAGGCATTTTATGCTGGCAAAACCGTTATCATTGGTGAATGGGTTCGTTCGTTCATGAAGCCGTCAACCATGCAGCAAACCCTAAGTTAAAGCACCGTGATTCCGTTGGAACCTAATCCCATGGCATTTAATATCCGATTCAGGGTATCAGCGGGTTTAATTCGACGGGAATCGGGAAGCGAAGTTTCGTGCACCACCAGCACCTTCGCCGAGAGCCATTTTGAGAACGAGCCACATGTCGTGTTATCACCGGGCCACGTGGACATTCAAATCGCTGTTTGTCCAAATGAGTCGCTCAAATCATTGTTCAACAGGCTCTTTCAGACCCATCTTTCCCACTGCTGCCTGCCGTCCGACCCACGTCAGCAGGGAGCACGAGAGGTGGGGAATCCGGAGAGAATGGATTCGGAGGTTTGGAAGCAGCAGGTTTGGTTCATGGTGCTAGGTCAGGTGGTGTACCTCTCCCCCCACTCCACTGTGGAGCAAGCGAAGCTGAAATCCAGTTCCACCATTAGAGTGCTCCCCGTAAGATGTGCGCTTGGAGGAGGAAAGTGGAAGGCCAAGGCCAAGGAGGGAGGTGACGAGGGTGTGTCTAGCCCTGCCTCTGCACCTGCTGCAAACTTGCCTCCTGCTGCGGCTGCTGCTCCTCCTCCTCCTGCTACTCCCGCTGCTGCACCTGCTGCTGCCAAGCCTCCTGCCACGGCTGATCCAGCTGCTACACCCGCTGCTGCACCTGCTGCTGCTGCCAAGCCTCCTGCCAGGGCTTCTCCGGTCGCTGCACCTGCTGCTGCCAAGCCTCCTGCCACGGCTACTCCGGTTGCTTCCGCTGCTGTTGCTGTCAGCAGGCCACGTGGGATTGACTACAGCAAGTGGGAACACATCGGATCCAGCAGTGATGAAGACGAAGAGGAGGAGGAGGAGGAGGAGGAGGAGGAGGAGGAGGAGGAGGAGGAGGAGGAGGAGTCACCGAAGGCGGACAGAGGCGCAAGAGGGAGCGCTGGTGGAAGGGAAACAGCCTCGAATCCTGCCGGAACATGTGCTTCTGGTGGCGGTGGCAGTGTCTCCAAGGGAATCCAGGCCATTCGAGATGAGATTTGGAAGAAGCGCAAGGAGATGGTGAGAAGGTGGAAGTTTCTAGCAGAGGCAGTTGCTAGAGCAGGCAAGGCAGGAGGGTCCAACGGGCAGGGGGGATTAGGGAGACATGAGGCTCCTCAAGGAATGAAAGTGCAGAAGGGGCAAGGTGAGGAGTCAGGTGGGAAGGTGCAGCTGGTTCCTCGGGCGGGCATGGTGCACTATCTGGACGTCAACGACGGCTGGGGAGGGGCTGAGTGCGAGAGCTGCTTGGAGCGTGCAGTGTGCTACCTGGCCCAGTGCAAGGTGTACTTCGCCAACGTCGCCCTCCTCCGAGCCGAATTGCGCAAGGTGGAACTGCCCTCCGTTCCCTTGGCGCTGGGACTGCCAACAGGACTGCCGAGCGCAATGGGAGGTCCAAGCACAAGGGGAGGCCCAAGCCTGGGCGGTGTCTCCCAAGCCTGGGCGGTGTCTCCCAAGCCAGGGTTGCTGTGGAGTTCTCCTCGAGGGTCACAGTGTTTGGGGAGGAGGGGCAGAAGAAGGGGCAGGTTAAGGGCCAGGAGGGGCCTGACGTGCAGTGGTGCTGCAAGTGTGAGATGGCGCCATTGCTGTGTGCGGAAGCCATGGTGACAGAGTGGATGGCTGAGCCTCGTGTGGGTGTGCTCATGGACCTGGGGAAGATCAGATCCCGCCTGCCTGCCATCCTCGCTGCTACAGACGCTGCTACAGCTGTCCCTGCTACAGCTGTTGCTTCTTCCCCTGCTGCCCCCACTGCCTCTGCCTCTACTGCTTCTTCCCCTGCTGCCCCTGCTCCCCCTGCCGCTCTTGCTCCTGCTGCTGCTGCTGCTGCTGCTGCTGCTGCGTTTTCCTGCTGCTGGCGCTGCAGCAGCTGCTGGGCTGCCTACCGCCGTGCTGTCAGCTTCGCTGCCTTCCTCGTGCTTGTGGCGAGATGGCCCCGTTTCGTGACTCTATGGCAGGTGCGAAAAGAGTCGCAGCAGGTGGCCTACCCAGCGATCCTGGCGGAGCTGGGGGCGGGCAGGCTGGCGGAGCAAGATTGCTTTGCGTCCATGCTGGTGCAGGTGCTGGGGGTGAAGGAGAGTGCTGACCTGCAGGAAGGGTTTGGCGTTCTCATGCAGAATCTGCTGACAGGCGGGCTGGAAAAGGCGCATGCAGAGGAGAAGGGGAGAGGGGGAGCTGGTGGTGCAGCTTGGGGGGCCTATTTGAGGAGGCTTATTTGGGGTGCTGTTGGGGACAAGGGCGAGAATGGTCTGAAAGGGCGTGTGTGGGAGAGGTATGTGGATGGCATGGCTTGGATTCTAGAGGATGGAGGCGAGGAACTATGATGCGAAAGACGCGTCCTGCATCCTGGACGCATGCGTTCAGACGCATGCGTCCAGACGCAGGACGCAGCACCAGGACCAGAAAGACGCACCAAAAGACGCAATCCCGGGCAGGGCAAAAAAACCCCCCGGGCAGGCAATTTTTTTTGTTATAGGGCATGGGAAGAGGGGGGGGGGGTGGGACGTTCCACACTTCCACACTTCCACACTTGTTATTGCTTGAGGAAGCCATAACGGAGTTAAGCTACTAGTAAGCTAAAACCTCTAGGGTTTTCGAAAGAGAACCCTAGAAAGGGTTCTGAAATGTTGGGGGGGCTGTTTTAGAATGTCGATTTGGGCAAGGGGGGGTCGAAATTTCGCGATTTTGACATTTGCGACGAAATCGCGGATGTGAATTTCGCGATCGGGATTTTTTTTTCCGGGCAGCCCGGAAAAAAATCGATGTGCGTCCTTCGTCTGGACGCGCGTCCTACATCCGAGCGTCCAGAGGCTGCGTCCAGACGCAGGACGCAGCGTCCTCCGTGCGTCTTTCGCATCATAGGCGAGGAAGGAAGGGAATTCAGGTGCAGCCACTGAAATGAGGGGGGGAGCAGCAGCAGCAATGGCAATGGCAGTGGCAGCAGCAGCAGCAGCAGTGTGGGCAGTGGGATGGAAGGCAGGGATATTCCCAAGGGCATGTACTTGAGTGGCGTGGGTGCCACTGACTTCGCCCTGGCTGTCGCATCAGTGTACTCAAGGCTAGAGACGCGCAAGGGCGAGGACTGCTTCTGCATCAATGCCAGCAACCCACAGCAGACCCGCGTGGAGGCCGCTGCGATTGAGGAGGCGAGGGATAGAGTGAGACGTGCGGGGCTGGCAGGGGGGGTGAGTGAGAGAGCAGGAGGAGCAGGAGGGGCAGAAGGGGCAAAAGGAGCAGGGGGAGCAGGAGGGGCAGAAGAAACAAGAGGAGCAGGAGGATTGGCGTCTGATGCCACTGAGATGCCTGTGAGCAGCACAGGGCTCGTGCCTGTCAACACCAACCCACCTGTTGCTGTTGTGACGTATCAGGTTGGCTGTATCTTGCAGTGGGCCCGAATTTACGGCGCAAATACTACCTTAGAGAAGAATTGCTTCAAGGACAGCCCACAGGGCAAGGTCCTGCCCATGCGTCATCCACTTCGGGACCTACCGAGCCTGCTTCTCAGGTTCGGCGCCATCCCTGAGCCTCTGGACGGCAGGAGCTTCTCCTTGGAGTGGGAGGAGTGGCCTCAGGGCGAGGAAGCTGCTCTGAAGCTTCTTGACGACCCCAGTGCAAGGTGCTTTGGCTTGGGGATTCCGGAAACCGATGGGAGGAGAGAGGAGAGTATGGAAAGCCCCCCTGCCCAATCATCCAAGGCAGGAGGAAGGAGAGGACGAAGAAACAGAGGGCGTGGGGGAGGGCAGGGAGGCATGAAGAACACGAGCGCTCTCACACGCACTCCCTCACCTCTCCCTACCACTAGCCACCGTCCCATCGTTCGCTGTCTTGCAGACGTGGAGTGCATTTTGGACTTCGCTGCGGCCATGCTCACCCCACCCGACTGCTCCGAGTGCAAGAGGTGCATCAAGCTCTACATCTTCCACATCCCCTTCGTCACCCTCATTGCCAACTACGCCTACCGCCCCGCTAGTGTCCTGTTCTACCGCTTCCTCTCTGTCTTCCTGCCGCACTCCAAGGAGTTCATCAACCTCGTCCGCATGCTGGGCCTGGACCCCTTACCCATGGGCGCCTCTCTGGAGGAAGAGAGGGAGAATCTTGAGCGCGTGCGGGAACAGGCAGAGCGTGTGCCCGTGGCTCTGCTGCTCTGCATTGCTCTGAGGTGGGCCCGCCCCGTTCTCGTCCCCGGCGGGTTTGAGAAGGACGGCACCCGGAGGCCATTGGAGGCGCAAGGTTGGGTTGGAGGAGGGAGGTTTTGGAGCCCGGGCGGCTTTGGGTTTGGCGGGGGTGGTGTGGAGGATTGCTGGGATGATGGCGAGGTGTGGGCGGAGGTGTGGTCGTGGTGCGGTGCGGCGATGCTCGCTTGGCCGACTTATGTGTCAGGGGGCAGTGAGACATGCAGAGGCAGGCGGGAAGGGAAGGCGAGTGAGCCGTTTAGCCCCGAGGCGGTGGGGTGACGTGGCTCTTGGTGGGGGTGTGACGTGGCAAGTAGGGCGGGTTTTGGCGGATGCAAAAGGGTGTGACGTGGCGGAATGTGAGGGTTGGGGCAGACGTGGCGGTTTGGAATGGTACACGGGAGCGGCGCGTGACAAGGCGACGTGTGTCAGGTGGGTGGGGGGTGTCGTGGCATGGGGTGGGAGGGTGTGACGTGGTACGGGGGGCTGGTTGTTGGTGGACGTGGCGGATGCAGGAGGGTGTGACGTGGCGGATGCAGGAGGGTGTGACGTGGCACGTGGGGCTGTTTGGTGGACGTGGCGGATGCAGGAGGGTGTGACGTGGCGGAAGGTGAGGGTTGGGGATGACGTGGCGGATGCAGGTGGGTGTGACGTGGCGGAAGGTGAGTATTAGGGATGACGTGGCGGTTTAAAAGGGTACACGTGAACGGCGCATGACGAAGCGAGGCGTTTCAGGTGGGTGGGGGGTGACGTGGCTCTTGGTGGACGTCTGTGCCAAGAGCACACTCACCCCCGACGGACGGAGGACATACAGACTCTGACTCAGCAACAAGACTAGTGGTGTAGTCGATACGACAGCGGGCAGCAAAGTTGACAAGCTCAGCAACTAAGGCAAACGTAGCAGTGGACTCAAAGGAAGGGTCAGCGACAACAGTAGCTAGCAGACGCGTGACAGTAGGGCTGGCAGCACGAAGTGAGCCAGACTCGGGGTCCGGACCGTCAGCAAGGGAGGACGTAGGAGGAGACGGCAGAGGGATACGCAATGGAATAGAGGAAGGACGAAGTGTCATCTGGTGCGTGCCGCGGACAGGAGGAGGACGCTGACGCGGAACACGACGACCAGTGCGAGCAGCGCGAACAGGTGACGCAGCACGAGACTCAGGCTCACGACGCTCCGCAAGACCTCCGGTCGGCTCAGTTTAAGGAGAAGGACCAGGCAGTGGGGAGGCTGGCTGTAACTGCGACTACGACTGGTCAGGAGGTGGACACAGTAAGGGAGGAGTAGGACCAGTAGAAGGCGGGAGACCAAGAACCTGCTGAAGGAGTGGAACGAAGTACGGCCGCGGCCGCGTAGCGCCTCCAGAACCAGCACCGACAGCACCAGTACCTCCAACAGCTCCAGCTCCAGCACCACCTCCAGCAGCTCCAGCAGCACCTCCAGCTCCAGCTCCAGCAGCACCACCAGCAGCTCCAGCTCCAGCAGCACCTCGGGCAGCTCCAGCAGCACCGCGAGCAGCTCCAGCAGCACCAGCAGCTCTAGCAGCCCCAGCAGCCACAGTAATACCAGCTCCTCCAGCAGCTCCAGGACCTCCAGTAGCTCCAGTACCTCCAGCCCCGGCAGCTCCAGCACCCGCAGTACGAGCACCTCCAGGACCTCCTGTAGTAGCAGTACCACCAGTCTCGGCAGCTCCAGTACTCGAAGGACGAGCGCCCCTAGAACCAGCAGCTCCAGCACCTCCAGAACCTCCAGCAGCAGCAGCAGCAGTAGCAGCAGCACTAGTCCCGGCAACTCTAGGACCCGCAGCACGAGCACCTCCAGACCCTCCGTCACCACCGGCAGCAGCAGGACTACTCTGAGGGCGGGAGTAGGAAGTACCACTCGCGAAGCTGCTGTGGCGAGAGAGGCTCCTGCCGGGGAGATGCAGCACCACCGAGCTCAGCAACCCCAGACTCCGGACCAGCTCCAGCAGCTCCGGCACCTCCAGGACCAGTAGCACCAGCGCCTCCAGGGTCTCCAGCTCCAGCAGCACTACTCCGAAGTCGGCAGCGCCAGTCGTACCACTCGCGCAGCTGCTATGACGAGAAAGGCTCCCGTCGGCGGAACTGCCGCAGGGAGGCAGCACGAGTACCGCCAGGAGATGCAGCACCCCGAGGCTCCTCACACACAGGCTCAGCACCCCCAGGCTCCGCACGCTCAGGCTCAGCACCCCCAGGCTCCTCACGCTTAGAGTCAGCACCCCCAGCAGCACCAGAGTCACCACTGACCTCGACAGGCGTATCAAGGGGGATGGGGTCTACCTGTGACACACCTGAAGGGGCCGGACCCTGACGGGGGAGGGGGTCTACCGGAGGGGGACCTGGAGCGAGGGAGAGCGGCGGGGGGGGGGGGGGGAGGGAAGCAGTGCGGTAGGGGAAGAGACGGTAGTAATTAACCGACTCGTCAAAAGTGACGCCCTGAGAGGACAGTACACGACGCGAGATGGGGTAGTAAAAATGCTAACCAGGCGCGTAAGGGGGGAAGCCAAGGAAGACGCAGGGAACAGCATGGGAGGACAGCTTGTCCACGGAAGAATCGCGGACAAAAGCTCGAGATCCCCAGACACGTAACACAGACGCATCGCCAACCTTCCCCGTCCACCGCAGAGCAGGTGTGGTCTCCGGCATGGAGACATGGGGCTGGAGGTTGAGCTGATGCGCAGCGTACTGGACGGCGAACGGCCACAGAAAATGGGGTGCAGCCGCATGGATCATGGACGTACGAGCGACGTCCATGACCATGCCAATGCGGCGCTCAGCAATCCCATTTTGCTGTGGAGAGGCCGGAAGCGTGAATGTGTGGCGGATGCCCTCCGCACGACAGAAGACCCGCAGACGGTTGGAGGAAAACTCACCACCTCAGTCGGAGTGCAGACGCAGAACAGGAAGGTCTGAGCCGAAACTCTCGCTGAGCTGGCGACGGGCAGCGTGGATCCAGGTGATCAACACCTCAGTGACTTCACCCTTGCGGCGCAAGGGGAAGACTGTGGTGTAACGCGAGTAGTCGTCAACGACCAGCAGAAAGTCACGCTCGTGACCCTGTCCACGGACGCGGGCTGGGCCCCACACGTCCATGTGGAGAGTCTGCAGGGGAGCCTCCTCCGTCAGAGGGAACTCGGAGGAGTGAGGAGCGGCGCGCTGCCATCCCTCGATGCAAGGAACGCAGGTAGGGGCAGGCCCCGGTGGGAGGGGAGGGAGAGACAAGGGGAGACTAGAGACAAGGGTACGGGAGGCCATACCTCGGAGAAGAGGCAGGGAGGGGTGACCAAGGCGGTGGTGCCAAAGGAGAGTCTGGTGTGACAGGAGACGACACGAGCAGGGGGCAGACTCCGGACCAGACGTGGACGCGGCAGCAATCACCTGACTAGATGCGGCTATCTGACCAGACTCAGCAACCGGAGGAGACTCAGTAGTCAGTGTGTACAGGCTCGACCCAGGCCGACGGGTGAACGTGGCCAGGTGGCGGCCCGTCCGAGTACACGTACAGTGGGTCACACGCTGACCTCCAGGAGTGAACTGGTCCACCCACACGTCCTGGAGGTCAGCTCCACTCACCAAGTTCGTAGAGAACGAGGGGAGGTGAAGACCTGACAGTGAGCCAGACGGGGCAGCCGGACACGGCAAAACCGTGGAGGAGTACGCAAGGACCGGGCCCCCAGAGGGGTCCGCCAGGGAGACTGCAACCGGCCGACTGAGCGGCTTGAGTGTGGTGCTGTCACGAAAGAAGGAGCGGGAAGCACCTGAGTCAAGCGTGAAGGTGTGCAAGGCCTCAGCAGACGCAGTACCAGAGAGAGCAGACTCACCAGCACCTGGAGCAGCAGACTCACTAGCACCTAGAGGAGCAGCCTCACCAATACCTAGAGCAGCAGACTCTATACCTGGGTCGGGAGGCACACATAGGTAACGGTCACCCTCGGCACTAGTAGGCAATGCATACATTGCAGTGAGGATAGCATCATAGTCAAGAGCAAAGATATCCACTCTTTGCCTAAGCAGCTCCAGCCAGTAGGGGAGCTGATCCGCGTCACCAAACTCTGTACGCCAAGTGTCGCTCAGACTGGCGAAGCAGCGGGACTGTGTGTGACCAACTGTCCCACAAGTCTGATCAGCCTGATCACCTATGCGAATGACGTACGGGCAGCGAACAGTACTTCGAGACCCTCTACACTGAGCGTACCACTCACGAAGCTGCTGGGGCATAAGGGTCTCACGCGGACGCCGCTGCAGCTGCATCCGGCCACCGCCAGAAACGCCCGACTGACCGGCTCCTGGGCGACTGCCACTACTGCCGCCGCTACAACCCCAACTAGTGTACCACTCACGAAGCTGCTCGGGCGTGAGAGACTCGCGCGGACGTCGCTGGAGCTGCATCTGACCACCGCTAGAAACTCCCCACCGAACCGCTCCACCGAGACTGCCACTACGTTCGAAGGTAAGAACAGTAGGGCTAGCCATGGCGGCAGCAGCAGCAGTAGTAGCAGTAATAGCAGGGAGAGCGCGGGGAGGGCAGCGCAGCGCAGTAGGGCAGGGCGGTGCGGTCCAGCAGAGCGGCGCGGCTTGCCTGGGCGGCGCGGCTCGGCTGGGCGGCGCGGCACGGCAGGCAGGCGGGCGCGGCGGCGCGCTTAGCAGGGCGGGTGCTTACCAGGGGTCGGGTACAGGGCAGGGCCGCGACGAGGCGGCGGTAGAGCAGGGCCGCGACGGGGCGGCAGCAGGGCAGGGCCGCGACAAGGCGGCTGTAGGGCAGGGCCGTGACGGGGCGGCGGTAGAGCAGGGCCGCGACGAGCGGTTGAGGGCAGGGCCGCGACGGGGCGGCGGTAGAGCAGGGCCGCGACGGGGCGGCGGAGGGCAGGGCCGCGACGGGTTGCGGCACGGCAGGGCCGCGATGGGCGGCTAGGTTAGGCCGCGACGGGCGGCTAGGTGAGGCCGCGACGGGTGGCGACAGGGCAGGGCCGCAAAGGGCGGCTAGGTCAGGGCCGCGACGGGCCGTTAAGGCAGGGCCGCGATGGGCCGGGAGGGCAGGGCCGCTACGTGCGGCAAGAGGGCAGGGCGCGCGACGGCGCAGGTGAGGCAGGCCGCGACGCGCGGCTAGGGCAGGCCGCGATGGGCGGCGATAGGGCAGGGCCGCGACGGGCGGCTAGGTCAGGGCCGCGACGGGCCGTAAGGGCAGGGCCACGACGGGCCGGGAGGGCAGGGCCGCCACGAGCGGCAGTAGGGCAGGGCGCGCGATGGCGCAGGTGAGGCAGGCG